AATTAATGCAATAGAATTTAAGGAGAAACTAAAGAAATTTCTTTTCCCAGTCCAGCTCTGTGAGTTAGGGAGCCGTGGAATTAGCACATCAATATTTGGGGGGTGGTGGAAGGAAACAATGGAGCCTAGAAACTGAGGTTCTTCAGTGAACTTCCAGAGAGGACTTATTTGCCCCTTGATGGGGCTGATCTACATATTCTGGCTGTAATCAAACCTATTGGTGGTGAATGTTCATGGAGATTCAGGAGCCTCAGTTTGGGAGGTGAGGGAAAAGGCAGGAAATGGGAGGGAGGATTAGTCAAGAGTACTGGGCATGGTCACAGTGCTCTGCTCTAGAATCTCCTCCCTGCAAGTTGTTTGTTAACAACCCTGTGAATAAGGATTATGAGGCTCATTTTGTAAGTGAGGGCTGCTTAAGAGCCTTCAGTGAGGCCTCATTGCTAGTTGGTGGCAAGATGGGATTCAAAGCCCCGTCTATGTGATTTCAATGCCATTTTACTATACCGTGCTATTTATGACACATTTAACTGGTTTTCTCTACAAAATCTTAGAAATTCCCATAGTAATAGTCATTCATTTGTGCATGCATTCCATCATTTATTCTATAGTGCTTGGTAGGTTCAAAACACTAAGATTTGGTAAATCTCAAATACTCGCACTTCCTCATTCCACAGAATGCAGAAACTGTTTTCTCCCCAGAAGAATTAGAACCTGGTTTCTCATAATGGAGAGACACTGGTCTGGAAATCAGAAGACATGAGCACAAATGCGGTATTTTGCCCTTGTCGAGGGTGCTTCCGTAGGAGACATTCATAAATAAATGTATGTTTGAACCATAAGAGTGAGTGTGATGCATAGTGTCATTTTGAACACTGGCCGTAATAAAGGATGGAAGGTGCCCCATGGAAATTAGTCCTTCCTTGTGTGTCTCAAGTCCACTGTAATTCTAGGATGAAACTTTCTGTCTCAAGCTTCCTGAAGTTGACTTGGCAGGCTCCTGGATTTAATTCAGAACCTCTTTATTGTGTCTTTCAATTCATATTCCTTTTTTCTGCCTCTCATCATCATTCTGTTTCTGCTTCTAATGTCAGATCAAGCTAGAAACTCTTGCTTCTCCCATTCAACTGAGAAAGTTAAGTTCCCTTTGCTCGGAATTTCTAGATCTCACCATTGAGTTAATAGAGACCTTTTGCCTCTCAAACACTCCCCTGGTCTGCCATTCACTGCAATTTCCCTTTCTTGGACACCAGGCCTCGGGTTGGATCTTTTCACCACTTACACTTCTCATCTGCTTTCTAGCGGTTTTTTTCCTCACTTTTTTCTGATTATCCTTCAAAGCTTTTGAACTTAGTCTACTGCTTTTGATCTGAAAATCTTCATTTCTTTTAAAGCTTTCGTTTTTCCCTTCATCTCTGTCCCCTTTGCTTGGTTATCAGCTGGAAGGGAGGTCACTTCCTCCTGAAGTCATACTTCCCAGCTTCATGGTCTTTATTTATCAAATATTTGTTGAGTACTTCTGGGCTTCACAAGCTGGGACAGCAAGATAAGACATGTTTCTTACCTGACAAGTCTGCTAGGGGTGACAGGCATGAAAAGAAATACTTGCAAAGTAATTATAAGAAATGTCTAGAAGAGGATGCCGAGGTTCTGATGGCACAAAGGAGGAAGTGACTAATGAATTGAGGGTCAGAGAAGGCCTACAGAAAGCCTTTAACCTGGGCTTTGAGAGGTGGAAAAGAGTTTCCCAAGGAAAGAAGTGAGGAAAAGGCATTCCAGAAACCAGGAGTGTCATGTGCAAAGGCCTAGAGGTGTGAGGTAGCAAGTCCCACTTGGGGAAACTGTTACTTGTTTGGTTATTCTTGGTGCTCACATAGAGGTGCCACCAGAAGTGAGGCTGAGGAGGTAAGAGGGACTACATGTTGGGGCACCTTCCATGCCTTTCCAGGAACTTTGGGTTCTATCCTGAAGGCCATGGAGGTTGAGGGAAGGGTTTTAAGAAGGAGAGCCATAGCAATCGGATTTAGAAAGATCATCTGAATTATATAGCAAGGAGAATGGATAGCATATGGTCAACTGTAGGTGGGGAGACCAGACAAGAGATTATTGTAATATAAGCAAGAAATGAAGAGGGTACCAACAAAAGCAATGGTAGTGAGGTCAAAGAGGAGGGAAGTTATTAAAGATGTTCAGAGGTCAAGTGGAGGGGCACCAGGGTGGCTCAGTCAGTTAAGCGTCTGACTTCGGCTCAGGTCATGATCTCAGGGGATTGAGCCCCAGATCAGGCTCCCTTTTCAGTGGGGAGTCTGCTTCTCCCTCTCCCTCTCCCCTTCCCCTGCTTGTGCTCACGCTCTTTCTTTCTCTCTCTCAAATAAATAAAAACTTAGAGAGAGAGAGAGATCAAGTGGATATGGCTTAGTGACTGACTGGATGTTGGGAGTGAAGGCAGGTTTCTGGACAACACGACCAGATGGATGTGGATGCCATTAACAGTGATGGAGAAAGCGGGAAGGGACAGGTGAGGGAGGTGAGGTGGAGAGGTATGACTGTGTGGTGTGTGGTGAGGTCCAGAGTGTGCATACCATTTGGATATATTCATTCTGTTTTGCAGCCATGGCTAATGGCCTTCAAGTCACGGTGCTTGACAAGAAGAAGGTGGCCATGCTCTTTCAGCCCACTGTGCTTCGCTGCCACTTCTCCACGTCCTCCCATCAGCCTGCAGTCGTGCAGTGGAAGTTCAAATCCTACTGCCAGGATCGCATGGGGGAGTCCTTGGGCATGTCCTCTCCCCGGGCCCAGTCTCTCAGCAAAAGAAACCTGGAATGGGACCCCTACTTGGATTGTTTAGACAGCAGGAGGACTGTTCGAGTGGTAGCTTCAAAACAGGGCTCAACCGTCACCCTGGGAGATTTCTACAGGGGCAGAGAGATCACGATTGTGCATGGTAACGGTATCTTTGCTTTGAATCCAGGAATAGAAGGGAGATTCGTTCCGCTGTCCCACACGCGAGGGGATGTCAGCCTCTCCGCCTTGCAACCCCTCAAGATTTTGATTTTATGGAAATGGAAGCTTCAAGAAGTCTAGCAAATTACTTAAGGGGACAGTGAGGGGAGAAAGGGTGAAGGGTGTAATATCTAGAACAGACACTGAGATGAGCTTTGGAAATGGTCTTTCTCAAACCTGACCTCTAGTCTGAGGAGCTTGTTATCAGAACTGAAGAGAAATAGATTCTAGCCAAAGAATATCCTCAAATACACCTTGACATCAGCCTCTATGGCCCTTTCCCAAAGAAGTTCCTCTGCTGGGAGAAGGGATGTAAACATACACATTACAGAACCAGGTAGATGCCTTGGCCCAAGCCCCAGGTGGTTCTGTATCAGTTCTACCCTTTCTTCTGCTCCCTAAGGTATTAGACAAGAAAAGGGCCTACGAGTCTGACCTGATCTATTTGACCATTTGAATTTTGAAGAACTCCTGTGAAGCCAGCTCATTTCCAGGAGTCCAGAGTAATTCTGGAATGTATCTGGCTTTCGGGGGCTTCGGCAGACCTGGTTAGTTGAAAGCAGTCTTCTATTCCCCAAACTGGACCAGAACTAGACCACTTTCTGGGGACACCCTAAGTCTTTCACCTTGGGGATGCTAGTGTTTGTTACTGGGTTTTTGTTTGTGTATTTGTTCATTTGAAATAGAGCAAACATCTTGTCAACCACCATCTAGGTGGAGAAGTAGAACACGGCAGCCATTCCTTCTGGAAGGGCCCCTCTCTCACTTTCCATTGTCCAGTGTTTTCCTTTCAGGGGGAAGTTTTAGGAATGGGCACTTCTTTTTATGAAAACAGATGCAGATCTTCAAATTGGAAAACTCATGTGGGGAGACAGCGGACTCTATTACTGTATCATCACTACCCCTGATGACCTGGAGGGCAAAAATGAGGACTTGGCAGAGCTGCTTGTGTTGGGTAAGTGAAAACCATCAGCAGCATTTATATCTTAGACCGCTTGCGCTGTTCCCTCCCCTCACTTTTCCCTGAGCATTCCAGCAGCTTGCATATGTAGGCTTTATTTCTTGTGCACAAACTGGTTTTAGAATATACTTTTTATGAGCCGTAGCCCTATTTATTGTATCTTGTTTCTTGGAGGCCCTTTTTGGCACGGTCCTGATGTCTCTTCTGCTTTCTCAGGGTTGTTTTTTTCCCTCCTTTCCACTTGTGTACCTTTAACCCCGATTTCTCTCTGCTCTTTGCTTTACTTACCTTTTTTTGTGTGCTAAGTGTTGAAGAAAATGCCAGACGCTTTGAAGCAGAGTAGAGACACCTGAGAGATAAGAATTCATTGGTGAGTGGGGATCTCCTAAGATGTCAGGAATCTTTTTCCATTCAGTTACCTACACTTAAGATGATCATGAGGAAGGGTGGCTGTAAATTGGAGAGTTTAACAATAAAATGTGCCTGATGGAAAGAGCTATTGGAGAGTCTGCTAGGGTTTAATTGGAAGGCAATGCCTTGAAACCCAAAAGTGTCTGAGTCATTCTCAAAGCAAATATAACTAATCCTTATTAATATTAATTTCTTCATAAAGGAAAATTCATTATTTTTGGCTATTTGTCCTCTTTTGTGGATTGGAGGAATGTCAGTGGAAATGACCTTGTATGATACTGCAAATTGAGCACATATTTCATGTTCTATAAATGTTGGTTGTACAAGAAAATTAGAATAAAAATACAGAAATTAAGAAAAGAAACTGCATTAATTGTAGGAGGAAAGGTAAACACTTGAGGCCATTTTTTAGATGAAATGACTTTTTTTTGTAGTTTCCAAGAAGCCAGGTGATAACACTTTGGAGGAATGTTTAATGGTGCTTTCTTTTAAAGGCAAATGAGGTTGAAGGTTAATTTTACCCTATGTGGGAAACTCAGGGCCCAGGGAGAAAGTGGAATCAGCTATTTGGGATTTTTAGTTTTACTCTATTATGACTGTGTGCCTTTGGCAAGTCAACTGTTCTGCTGCCTTACTTTTATGGTTTATAGAATGGATAAAGGTGATTATTAATAATTAACCCTTTAATTAGTAATAATTAACCCTTATTAGAGGGTTGACTTAATTCAAATACATATTCCTTGGGTCTAACATTTAAAGCCTAGCTGCTGTGATTTGTAGAAAAATGGGAAGTATGACAGATATACAAAAGGAGGTGAAAAAAAACCCAAAAAAGGCTTATATTGACATTGTGACAGAATGCAGGGAAATCAGATTTGGGATCTGCTGTGACTCTGTAAACCAGAAGGGAATAAAAAGATAAATTTCTGCCCAATCACACAACTCTAATGGCCAAGCTTGAAGGAACAAGTGGCTCATTGAGCCTGCAATTAGCTAATTGCGGACACAATTATTTGGCCAGTGTCGCCATTTGCAGAGAGGTAATTGCCTGTGCAGGAAAAGGAGGCCAGGTAAAAGCCACTTGAAATAATTTGTTCCCAATTCTGCGAAGTATAAGAAGAGCATTCCCCTGAATCAAAACATATAGTCATTTGGGGGAAGATACTGTCCTTAGGACAAAGAGAGGTGGGTGAAAGAAAGGCTCAGATGAACGTGGTCACCAATGATGGGAGAAAAGATGAACAGAAATCAGTGTCACTCCAAAAAGAATGGTAAAGGAAAACTGGGGAGGCTGCAAATCAACTCATCCTAGTAGAAGCAGCATCTCTGTGAGATAAGCAGGTACATGCTAGAGGTCTGGGGAGGAGAAACACATCATTCCGCTGTGTTCCACATTAATTAGAAATATTCAGAGTAGGATATATTTGCCATGTAAACTTTTTAGGGCAACACTAGTTGTGTTACTTATTTAAAGAAGTTAGTTTGAAATCTCCGAGAATTTTCTGGACACAGGGAGCACTGTATTTACTTCCCAGATGCAAAATTCTGAGTCTTTTTTGTCTTGACACCCTTTATAGAATGTTTCAAAATATTGTCACAGTTTTTAAAATTCTAATTATTTGGTTGTTATATCCTACAGGCCTAATTGTTAGGTGTTCCTTTTAAGTGAGACCAAGAGAACAACCTGATATCTGAGGTCAATCTCAAGGAGATGAAGACCTCAGGGGGCATATAACTGGGTCCAACAGTTTGCTAATTGCAACCTCCATGAGCCACCGATTCGGTCATTGAATTTTACATTAGGAATGGTTGGAGGAACTGGGAAGGTTTGATCTAGTGAAGGAGGGCTTGGGAAAGGTAGTATGGGAAGTATCTCCAGTTGAAATTGTACAGAAGAGGGACTGTGGCTGGGTAGAACCAGAACCAGGAGCAGAGGTTACGAGGGGCAGGAGTCCATCTCTGTATGAAGAAATAACTGTTAACAATTGGAGACATCTGAAGATGGAATAAACGTTCTCAGGAGTAGTGATTTCTTTGTCCCAGGAGGGTGGAAAAATCTTAGGAGTTGTTATAAATGAGACATGTATGTATAGGAAAAGATGTTTAGGTGACTTTTGAGCTTCATTTCAATTTTAAAATTTTCGGATTGAAAAATTTTGATGAACATGAGGGATGTGACTACCTTGACAAACAAGAGAATGACCTCCCAGGACTTTAGTCCTCATGAGAGAAATAGAATGGGTTACAGGTTGGTTACAAGAATGTACAGGGTGATGCTCATTCACAAGGACGCCAGAGAGAATAGACTGTGGTCTTTTGCTGTAGGTCAGGGTTAAAAGGACTAATCCCACAAGAATAAAAAGAAACTATTGATGGTGGCTGGAAGGAGTTGAGTGTAGCTCTTCTTGGAGATGATCACGAAGTGGGGAGCAGAAAACTGGTTGGAATTTCAGCTGGCCAATTAGTAAGGAAAGGCGAGTTAAAGGGATAACTTAGAGGCAAAGTTAAGAATTTATTTTTTTCCATTATACTCACAAAGGTGAAGATGGGAAAAGTTGACAGAATAAGATTGTGAAGTCTCTTACATGTCGGACTAAGAAATTTGGACTTCGTCCTGAAGACTTTGGGGAGCCAGTAAAGAAATACTAACAGAGGAATGAAGTGGGATCTCAGGGTCAAAACAATAATTAGCAGCAGGGTAGACAATGCCAAAGGAATGCTAGAACAGAGGGATGGGCTATGCGGCTGCTGCAGCAGCATGGGTGAAAGCCTATGAGACTCTGAACCAGAGCAGTGGATCGAGAAGCGACAACACAGAAACCTTTCTGAGATGGAAGTGATGGATCTTGGTGACTAATGTAAAAAAAGAAATGAGAGAGAGGGATGAGTCAAAAGGATACCATGATTTCTAGGTAGCTGGGTAGCCAGCTGTTCCATCAACTAAGAGAGCATACAGGTTGGAGAGGCAGGAGAATGACTTTGGTTCTTGGCATGTTGAGTATGGGAGGTCTGAGGGACCCCAAAGTAGGGATGTCCTGCTGACAACTAGAAATGGAGGTCTGGAACCCAGGGGAGAAGCAAGGATCAGAGATAATAGATTTGAGAATCCTGAGTGATAGAGCCATGAAAGGATAGCTGAGTCACCCAGGAAGATTATATAAAATGCAAAGGGCCAGGACAGAACCTATCAGTCTTATATTCTAGTTTACTTCATGTGAGTGGTAACACTGGTACTGCATATGTACTTGTCTTGATTTCTCCCACAACATTGGAGGCTTCTCCGTAGCACTGGACCATCTGCTCTTCAGAGTAAAGGACTAATGCTCATTTGTCTTTAGATCTGTAATGCCTAGCAGAGTGGCTAATGTAAAGGGGCTGGTGTGAATGTTTTTTTAAATGATAAATGGGTAGAATCTGTAACTAATATTTTATGCCTCTTAAATGTTAGTCAGTGCTAAATATGTATTTGTTGACTTATAAAGGGTCAGTACAATAAATGTCTACAGTCTCAAGTGAGATGACATGGTTTAATCTCACTGGTCATAATTCTTTATCTGGCTATTTAAATTATTACTGATGATAGGTCCATCAAGGACTGTGGTTGGAAGCAACAGGATTGGACTGTGGCTAACTTCCGCAGGAAAATAATTTGTTGGAAGGGTATCATAATTGAAAGGAAGGCTGGAAAATCAGTCTCTAGAAAGGATAGTATGCTAGGGTAACACTTGTTAGCTTCTGTAAAAAACACCCCCCCCCCAATCTCAGTGACTTACTACAGTAGAAATCTTTTTTTAAATAATATTTAGTGTCTTAACCATTTTATTTATTTATTTTATTATTCTTTTCTTTCTAAAGATTTTATTCGTTTATTTGAGAGAGAGAGACACAGCGAGAGAGGGAACACAAGCAGAGGGAGTGTGAGAGGGAGAAGCAGGCTTTCTGTGGAGCAGGGAGCCCGATGCAGGACTCGATCCCAGGACCCCGGGATCATGACCTGAGCCAAAGGCAGACGCCTAACGGCTGAGCCACCCAGGCGCCCACTACAGTAGAAATCTGTTACTTTCTCTTGTCCTGGTCAGATATGGGTTAGGAGGCTCACCTGGGTAGCTCCCTTCCACGTGGTGGAGTAGGGCTCTAAGCTTCTCCATTGTTCGGCTCAGCTGTACTGGAGACATTTGCTCACAGCTGCACAGAAAGGGAGAGTGGGAAAGGTCATGTGGGACTTTTTTAGAGGCCAGGTCTGGCAATGACATGGGTCACTTCTGCTGTTATTTTGTATTTCCCCAGGAAAAAAGTAGAAATGTTTTGATGAACACAGCACAGTCCTTGCTGTGCCAGAGATGCCCTAGGGTCTATGTAGCAAGAATTAATATCTTTAGGACTCCATAGCCAGAAAAAAAAAATCATTTTAACTGTTTTTTGTTTTGTTTTCTTCATTTTTGCACTCAAGAATTAGTCTCAGGAGAGTCCCAATTGTCTCAGTTTGGACAGGTGTCCACTGCTTAGCCTTGGGAGGTCAAGAGCTCTTGGTGGCTAGCCCACCAAGATGTGGAGAAGAATCATTTTCCCAAAGTCAATTGGGG